TGTGATAAAGGTTGAAAGCATTTTAAATATTGGTAACAAAGCATTCGTGAAATATAAATTGGGTGATGTGTATAGATCTTTGTACAGATCTTAGTTCTTACTTTATGCAACAATACTTGTATGACTAATCTTATTAGACTCAATGATTTCGCCATTTTATTTAAAAAATTTAATGGCGAATCTGTCATTAAAACTAGTTGATTCTGTTTTTGGACTATATAGTGAACTTTCTCATATTTTTTTTTCCCAAGAAGGTTGATTCCTCCAATTTCTATTCCCTATCACCTATTTCCCTGAACTTAATTTCCTTTTCTGGTTTAGTGGGCTACAGCACAAAATGACAGTTAAAACATCTAGTCAAACATGATTTCCTTCTAGCATCATAACAAGGTTCACTAATAAACTCCTCAATTTTAGAGATTTCCTGTCAACACAACAAGAAATTTATTTATGAGCTCATTTGAAGTGATGATCTCTAATTCTCTATGAAAAACACCTTCAGTAAATGTTGTTGCTTGCAGAGTATAATCTCAGTTTCACAATCTACTACTCTACTAGTCAGCTCTAACATATCTGGATGTTTCTACCCTGAATTGTATTACACTAGTTTTAGTTGCACTGGCTTTATCCAAAAACGTTGCTGCTTTATCTCTTGGGTTCAGTTGCAGTGAACTCAACTTTATGGTTGGTTAACAATATATAGGTACCACAGGTTCTGAACAAATTCCTCCAGAGTCTAAAGTGACTCCCGCAAATGCATCTTTGAGAGTGAGACTGATGTCTGTTTTCTGCTGATCAATTTCAGCAGCAAACAATTTTCCATGAACATTACAGTTCTTCAGATCTCCTCCAACATAAAAGCTTTAGAGGAATCACATAATATTCATTTTGTATATGCATGTGTGTATAAAATTTAAAGGAGCACATAATTTCTTTTGAATTTTGAGGTTAGAACAAAGTAATGCATTAATTTATATAAAATGAAATGAAGATTTTTAAAACTAGTAATGTGTAAGAAAGGGCATCTTTACTTTTCTTTGGTTAAAGAACATGGATCTTGTCTGGGTTTGACACTAACAGAGTTCCTGACACTTTTGGGAACCCTTGTTGAGATGAGCCCTTTTACTTTTTATGGGAAACCTTTTGTGCTCTGATCTAATTGCTTTGTTTTTAAAGTGAAACCGTAGTTTATTGAACTAAAATTTGGAAACGGGGGTATCTCAAACAATTTTTAAAGGGGGCATGTGCCATCAATGAATGTTAGTACTTCCTTAATTCCTTTCTAGTGTACTTGTCTTTTTTTTCATTGGGTGGGAGGATACTTGCTTTCTAGGAAACAATACCACCTCAAGGTTGAAGCAGTTGGGAATGGAGTTTATATGGGTTTAAATATGTGAGTATTTAATTATTTATGTTGCATTCTTTTTCCACTCAGTTATCTATCACAATTCACACATACCTTAAAGTTGCTGTGGATAAACTAACTTTTCCATCAATGAATATATTATTTATAGTTTGAATCCCTGATTTGTTGAAACTTGAATTCATCAACGTGAATTTTTGAAAAGAGACAAATATGGCCTCATCCTGAAACGAATGATCTTCATCTCTGGGATTCAATATTTTTTCCCCTAATTTTCTCTTTCGCTCCTTGTGTTATGAATTATGAGGTTTAAGGTGTGATAGCAGGCAAAGGGCCACCACCTAGTGGTAATTGTGAAGCTATATTTGTTAACAAATGAGCAAGTAGAATAACTAGAGAGCAGGAGATGAGATATAATAATAGATGGATTTCTTGATTGTATGCAAATTTTGGCAATGAGAGTCTCGGCTCGTCTTATTATTACAATGTGTTTTAGTTATGGGACTTGACTCTTTAGCTAACCTAATGATTCTTGAACATCCAATATGAGTAAATTAAGAGAATATTCAATTGCACTTTGCTTTCCAACACTGCAACTTGCAGGAGAGACAACAGGAATGTGTAATTCTTGATGGTCATCATTAGTGTTGTAAATTTAAGGGATATTGAGCGTGAGGTCTGCTAATAAGTGTGTGCTTCTGGAATGAAGCATGCTTAAATACATGTTCTGCAAAATTTTAGGGAAATCACTAAGATCATATATCCTGGATACACCTGATTCAGTCTAGATTATGACAATTGGCTGATGAAGGGAAGAATCTCCAATAATCAACTTATTCTTCTCTTTATATCGTGTTCCAAAGCAAATTTCTTGGGGACGTTTAAAATAGAATAGAGGCCAGAAGTTGGTCTCCATTTGGTAATTTAGTAATTTATATCAAGTGTGGATTAATTATGGGCAAACTTATGAAAAGCGTGAAAGGCGTTGCTTTGTCACAAATAGCGCAGTCAACAGTCAATTTTAAAAAAAAATTAAACCTAAGCGGCGAAGCCCTAAGCTAATATCGCGACTCGCGATTGTGATTGGAAAGACCAAACATTCTCTCTCTCTGCCACTCTGCCTCCGCTGCACTCTGCTTCTCCTAGTCTCCCTTCTCGCCGACCGGCGACCGCCGCCCTCGCCGCCTCGCCCACCGCTCGCCGTCGTCCTCTAACCTCCGTCCTCCTCGCCTGCAGCCTGCTCACCGTTCACACTGTCGAGTGTCGACTGGTATCGCTGATTCGCTGTTTACTTTATTATTTTTTTTTCCATTTCCTCTTCCATAAAGATGGAAGATACATTATAGTATTATACATATGTTATATATTTATATGTATTGACTTAGGCAGTAGGCTGTAGTCTATTAGGACTTTTATTGTGTTTTACACTTTAATCTTAGTTCATTTAATAATTTATTTTTATTAAATGAATAATGTTTGTATTATTATGATGTTGTCACTTTATCACTTTAGGAGTTATTTTGGATGTTATTTTGCATAATTATTTGAAGTTTTTGACTATATATATGTATAATTTATATATATTAAAAGCGACGCTTCGCTTTGCGCTTTCACTTTAAAGCAAAGCCCGGCCTAGTCGCTTTAGTGCGCTTTTTCGCTTTAAAAAGTTTGGTTATGGGAATTAGGTATTTATCTGTCTTCAAGAAAATATTTATCTGTCTTCAAGAAAATTAACACACTCATCTTTCACTTGGCTACTTGGTGTTTTGATGTACACAAGCCTGGAACTATTTGTGCTTGCTTTTAATTGTGTTATGAAATTCATTGGCTCCTGTTAATGCTTGCAAAAATGAATACTTCATCAGTGATCCTTGTTGATTTCTGTTAAACTTTGCTACAGCTCTTCTTTCCATATTATCTACAATTTATTTGTAGATGCTGCTGCTGCTGCTATTTCCTGTGGTAGTCATTACTCATTAATATTCTTCCATCATGAATCTTAAGTGATGGTAACTTCATGGTAGATTATATGGTTAGCCAAATCACATTCAAATTTGATTTCTTGAATGAAATGATTGCTTGCACTCTGATGGAGACATGGAGTGTACATTTTTCTTCGTTATGGGAGGAGCACATCACCCCATCTGAATGTTATTGATAAAAAGACACAACAAACAAGACAGTCATTGCCTGACTATTAGTTTGGTTTGCTTGGGTTGCGATAATATGCTTTACTTTGGTGCACTACTCTTGATTTCATACCAATCTGTTGCTAGCATGAATGATGATTGGTTTTTGTTGTGTGGTTGAGCAATGGGTATAATTGACTTCTTTTGATATCTAGATACATGCATATGAAGAACCATTTTGCTGATAGGTGTCTTGGTTGACATTGTAGATTTGTAGATGATTTAAATATGCATAGGATTATATGATGTAATAAAGCTCAGGATTGGTGAGCACAGACATGATGATTCAAATACATTGTGTTTGTTTTTCTTTGTTTATAAAATTTGAATAGTGTAAATCATACTACTTAAGGGGAATTGAGCTCTTTTTACCTGCACCATTGGTTGTTAGAAATGATAATTTGGATATGCAGTCATCAGATTCATTACTAATAAATGGACATGCACATAACAACAGAACTGAATGTGGGATTTTTTTCATAGAAAGATGTAATTTGCAAGTGGTAAAAGATTGCAGGTTGTAAATTTCAAAATCTTTGGTCAAACATGCAATATGAGTGGCTACACAGTATCTTCATTATTATTATTATTATTATTATTATTATTATTATTATTATTATTATTATTATTATTATTATTATTATTATATTTTTCTTTCTATTTGATATTAAATTTCTAACAAAGATAAGCATCAATTTGTCCAGAATTCAGGTAACAGTTGCTAGCAACTGCATATCGTCACACCCTGGGCATTCTGGAGCATTGATAGTGTGAATCCTGCTGTCCATCAAGTTTAACACTAGCTATCTTCATGGCTATGTAGTTAAGCATATAAAGCTATCCACAATGTAAATCTTCCTATCCTTTTCTTTCCTTCTGGCTTTTTCCCAATCTAATAATGAATTGCAGTGCTTTCTCATCCTCATTTTCCAATTAACTCTTATTTGTGCCTCATTATGTTAATAGTCCTTAGAATGCAATTTCTTTCTTATGTAGATTACTGTGTGCACAGTGACAGAACTGAGGATTTGATGAGTGGTGCCTCGAGTTCAGGTGGCCTACGTGCTGCTCTCTCCTATTGTGTGAAGCAAGTACGGAATTATGACTATCATCGCTACCTTTGCCTTCTTGAACTTCCACCAAATATGAGAATAGCTGCTTTTGCACTCTCTGCTTTTAATGTAGAGACATCCAGAGCTATGGATGTGTCCTCTGATCCTAAAATCGGTCTTATGCGGCTGTTGTGGTGGCAAGAAGCTCTGGACAAGCTATATGCCAACAAGTCGATTGAGCATCCAGTAGCACAGGCGCTTGCATCTGTGATATCTCAAAATAAAATTAGCAAGAGTTGGTTGAATCGTTCGGTGGAAGCTCGGATTAATGATGCTAGAAGAGAGGTCACTGACATACCAAAAACCGTTGAAGAGTTGGAGCGGTATGCAGAAGACACTGCATCGACTATCCTGTACTCCACACTTGAAGCGGGTGGCATTAGATCGACAGTTGCAGATCATGCAGCATCACCTTACCATGTCAGTCGAAACCGCCATCTTATTTACATACCTGCTGACGTGGCTGAGAAACATGGATTGTTAGTACATCAAAGTGGTCAGTCAGAGATTCGTTTGGATTCCCGGGAGAGCATGTGCGATGCGGTATTTGACATGGTATCTGTCGCTAATGCACATCTGCAGAAAGCTCGTGAATTGAGAGGAAAAGTGTCGGCTGAAGCCCGGCCAGTGCTTCTACCCGCTGTCCCTGCTCAGGTTATGCTGGATTCTCTAAGCCGTGTGCAGTTCGACGTGTTTGATCCAAGACTAACACGATGGGATTTTAGGGGCTCCCCCTCTGCTTTTCCAATTGAAACTGAAATGGTATTCATTGAGGGGAACATACTAACATGTTTTCTAGTTACATTGGCATATCCACAATGGCATGCTAATATACAAATAACAAATGGCAAAGGGGGAAACTTTCTTTCTTCCCTAATGCAATGCTAACTGAAGTAGTCAAATGGTATTTATCAAATCCAACTTTGTTGAAATTTTGGTCTCCCTTTTTATTTTGTGATTCAGATTGTCTGCCCTCAATTTGTTGATTGGCATTGTAAAATGTAAACCAATAATAATGCTCTTTATTTCCATTTGGCTTTATTCTTTGCAACTTCTGAATAATGTTTTGGCTTTTGGTGTAATATTAGCATTTTGTTCTGTAATAATTAGATACAAAGATGAAAGCATAGATAATGGATGATGACATATATAATACTCCGTACCATATATGTTTTCCCTTTGTGCGCATATATTTTATCATTTTCATTAGTGGACATTGGCATTAATCTGACCTTGAAGGTCAGAGGCTTGTATCTTGTACGTGTGAGTGTTACTATTATTATTGTAATTAATATTGTATAGTCTATGGTACTAGTGTGTGGTATTAGACTTAGTCTTTATGTTATAGCCTATCTCTTAGGAGTGTTTAGAGGTTCAGTTGGATATACTCTCTGTAATCCGTATTCTGTTTCAATTGGAATTAATCTTCTCTCTCATCTCTCTCTCATCGTACGGACTAAGCTTTTGTCCTTTCATTTATGACCTGTTTGGTTGGGCGTAATTTGGCTGTAGTTTAATTGCAATTCAGTGAAAGCCACAATTACGCTGTTTGGTTGGATGGAATTGCAATTCCACAGAATTGCAATTCCCCCCTTTTGCTGAATTGCAATTTATGGGCACTCCCCTATGAATTGCAATTCGGTGGTTGTGGGAAAAGAAAAAGAGGATGAAATGACAAAAGTGCCCTTAATTATTACTACTATTATTATTACACAATGACATTTTAGTCTTTATATCACTTCTTTCATTCCCTACCCAATAATTCTATTCATCCCTACCAAACAATGTAATTCTATTGTACGGACTGAGCTTTTGTCCTTTCATTTAGGGGTGTGAATTTGGTTAACCAAAAATTTTAATGTTTTAACGGAACTTTATATTATCGAATTAATTGAATTAAAAAAAAATTAATTAATTAATCGGTTAACCGATTAATCAAAATTTTTTAATTAAAATTTTAAATCCTTAAAATAATACATATAATAATAAATTTAATTACTTTAATACTTATTATAATAATAATAATAATAATAATAATAATAATAATAATAATAATAATAATTCCATAATTTCAATACAAAATTCAAAGTCCTTAGGGATTTCATTTTAGTTTTAGGAATTTTACATTATATATTTATATATTTATTAAAAAATTTGGTTAACCATTCTGTTAATATGATTAACAGTTTCGAATTGAATTAATCATTAATCAAAATTTTATAAAATCTCTAATCATTAATCGAATCGAAATATTTCGATTTAAAAAACGGTTAATTGAAATTCGTCAGTTCAGTCGATTAACTGAACTTTGATCGAAGTTTGCACAATCCTACTTTCATTAAATTACAATTGATTAATGTGACATTCCGAATGAAGACATTATACTTGTCATTTGAGGATTGAATTTGATCGCATTCTTGGAAATATTACAATTGATTAATGTGACATTGTGAATGAAGACATTATACTTGTCATTTGAGGATATTCAATGATTGAAATAATATTACTTAACACACTGTCGAATTCAACTATGAAATTATTTGATCAAGGAGAGGTTTCAACAAATTTAAAATGTAGTTTTCTCCAAAAAAAAAAAAAGTTTAAAATACAGGAATTATATCGATAAACTTGATGTAATAAAATTGAAATAAAACAAGGTATATGATAAAAAACAATGTGATTATGAAGAGGTTACTAGGTTCAAATCACATAGTGAGTTTGGTCAACCCATTAACACATTTTGTCACAAGACAAATGAGATGTAACAATTTAAGAACTAATCGCATCTTTGGTGGAATGGAAAATATTTTCTAAGAAAGTTCATTTTCATAAAGTTGAAAAAAATGCTATTTTGTGTTGTTTGATTCGTGAAATTCATTTTCATTTGAAAGTAGAATTCTTCAAATTTGAGGAAAACAAATTCTTAACTTCTTTATAGTATTTTGTTTTTCGTGAAATTGGGAAGAAAAGATGACTTGAAAGGTCTATTTTACCCCATTTAATTTTTTTTTAAAAGACATTAAACTTTATTAATTACTATGACTGTTATTATCATTAATAATAATAATAATAATAATATTATTATTATTATTATTATTGTTATTATTATTATAGGGGCATTTTAGTCTTTATATTTATTATTCCTTACAATTTCAAATTCAACCAAACAATAGAATTAATATTCCCAATAATTTATTTTCCACAATCCAAATAATGGAATCAATCTTCCTAGTCATTTCTTTTCCATGAAATTTAAATTCCATTCATCCTCAAATATTTTCAGCGAATCAAATGTGCCATAATATCTTGGAAGGTGGAAGGTTAGAATTACTTTTTAAGCCCGAGATGATGAAATAATAAGAGTTTGCTTGATTGATTCAGAGAGAATTACAGCACTACTTATACACAGAAATTAACTGGAAACTAGCTAACAAACTCTAACATTAACACAATATTCTAACAGCTCAATACTCCCCTTCAAGCTGAGGGAGGAAACGTGACGACACCCAGCTTGACTCTTAAGTCACCAAAACGAGAAGATGACAGGGGTTTGGTGAAGATATCTGCTAATTGATCATGCGTGGAGACAAAATTCACCTTCAAGCCCCCGAACGCCACCTGATCCCGAACAAAATGGTAGTCTACCTCCACGTGCTTAGTCCTGGAGTAAAACACCGGGTTAATGCACTAGTTATCGCACCACAAGACCGGCACAGACGGTGAATGCAACACAAGCACACACAAAAGAGACTGCACCCAGGTAACCTCCGCAGCAGCATCGGCAAGGGCTTTGTACTCGGATTCAGTAGAGGAGCGGGTAACCGTTCTATGCTTCCCCGAGACCCAGGACACCACATTGGGACCCAGGAGCACTCCGTAACCCGCAGTAGACTTCCGATCTAACGAGCGACCGGCCCAGTCAGAGTCGGAGAAGGCGTGCACCACTGGTGGCAAGTGTAACACCCCCCGACAAAGAGACTTAAAGACAAGTCTTAACACCTGCAGATCAAGTACACAACTAGCACAGCGGAAGATAAAATATAACTTGGATATAAAACATCCATAATCCGGGGTGTTATGCCGCGTACACCACACATGGTATACGCTTTCGGCGACAATCTGCAAGTGTAACTACAAACCCAAAACAACAACTAAACATAAAGCAGTCTAAGATACGGGCACGCAGGCCACAAAACACTGTCTACGGGAATAGGTACTAATATACCGGCTCTAGACATCGCGCTCAACACCTGAAAGATACAAAGATAAACATCGGGGTGACGCCCGGTCAGCGAATGATGCTGGTAACCCACAAATACCGTTAAGTATCATAAATAGGTAGATATAATAGGAAAACCATTTTCGAAACGGAATATATATATATATATATATATATATATATATATATATATATATATATATATATATATATATATATATATATATATACATACATAAAAGTTAAAAACCAAGATCATGAGACAACACAAGACTCACCACTCACAAGGACAACACCGGGAACACATCCCAACCACAAATGACAACCACACACACAACGATAACGACTCACACAACGGCAACACATGACAAAACACAAACCTCTATGACTACACACGTCACGAGAGAAGAAAACTCACCACACACCGGCTTCACAAGCCCTCCTCGTGACATCACCCATCACGAGTTGATATGCCTTCCTTATGCCATGTTCCAACCTTATGGCTACCCCCACCTTATCCTTCTGTGCCACCCATTACCTCCAGAAAGCCCCTGTACTTCTGAGTCCAACCTTGTTCCTCTGGGACCGTCGTCCCCCACCTATAACCACCAACGAAAACCCACCAATTTGTTGGCACTCAGGCCCGGATAACACAATGTTATCTCCCCAATACACGAGGAACTCTGCCTCCCCCATGAATTCACGTCACGGCCACCACGAGGACCGCTGCAATACCTTGGTGACAAGCGTCCCATACCACTGTCGTGCAATCCAGGTAGAGCCACACACGCACACCTCTCACTCAGAACAAACAACGGATTGCAAGAAAAGGTACGAAACATACTCACAAGAGAAGGGTCACTACCCAACGACGACAACGACGCTAGCATTACGATAATAACTAGCAAGCTCAACAAAGAAGAAACTCAAGATAGTTCCGAGGAACTCACAAGACACCACACAGTTCAACGAAACACAACGTTGAACACTTAGCACGATTCATAACGCCAAAGATCCTACATAGATACCTATCAAGAAGCTCTAGACCTATGAAACATCAAGAAGACGCTCAAAGAGATCCACAAAAGAACAATGGGAGATCAAAAGATCAAAGACCGAGACAAACAAAACATGGGGAACAAATCCCACTCTGAACTCCAACATGTTCTCCGCGGGTGGACCCACGGGTAGTGCCCCACCCGTGGTCCCGCCCGCGGGTACACAACCCACAAGGCTACGTTCCCGCGGGTAGGCCGGCGGGTGGTGCCCCGCCCGCCGTTCCGCCCGCGGGTACGGTCCTGTACCACAACAAATCCCTTCGGGGATTTTCTCCTCCAAACACAAATTCAAGTCCAAAACATGCCAAATCTGACCAAGCATAACAAAATGACTTGAACCAAGGAATATGCCAAGCAATGGCACACAGGAAACCTAAACACAAGCTCTAGATATGCAATATCACAAGATAAATGCATAGACTCTCACATTTCACAACAAAGAACATGTAGAACCCAAGAAATCATATATAGGTAAGCAAAATAGGTTTTGTAGAGCATGGGTTACCTCTTGAAGACCAAAAGAACTCTTCTTACACCACAACAAGCTCTCCATTAAGCTCACAAGCTAAACCCACTTCAAGATCAAACCAAAATATCATAAAGATCCAACCTTTAACAAAAAGACAACTAAGATGGAACCAAAAAGACTAGACAAGCTTAGATCTTACCCTTCTAGATGCCAAAATAGAGGAAAGATTGAATCTTGGAACCAAAACTTGGAATCTTGACAAAGGCTCTTTTTGGCTTGAAGAACAAGCTACTCTTGTTTTCTAGAGAGAAGATGGAGATATTTTGTATAGAATGTAAGGGATGAAATGAGGTAGTCTTTTAGGTTTAGGTTACAAAGAACTAGCTCATGGTGAAAAGACAAGCTTACCCTTACTAACTCTCAAAAGTGTAAGGAACAAGGGAACTATTTTCAAAGCACAAGGTACAACTCCACTTAAAGATTGACTAGTCAAATTCTAGTCCTTGAGTATCAAAAATCAGGATTTTAGGAATCAATTCCTCAAAAGAAATAGAATTAATTACTAAATTAATTCATGGCTTGGAATGTGGATTTTTGGGGTGTCACATCCTCTCCCCCTTCAAAGAAGTTTCGTCCCCGAAACTTGGGTACAACGAATTGAAACGAAAGGTAACAAGGAAACAAAATTGTGACAAGAGGTTCAAGAATATCCCTTTTGGTCAACAACTCCAAAAGTTCACTCAAAGGTTCCAAAGCAAAAGAAAAGACATTACGAAACAAGGATAGGCAAGAGGTCAACAAAACGGATAGATTGGCATCAAGAACTCTAATCCTCAACACAACAACCAACTTCTAGCCTATAACCAAGAACTCAACCACTAACCCAAACACCAACTAGCTAGCTAGCTAACTAACAACCCAAGACTAAACTACTAACTCAAGCACCGCTAGCAAACTAGCTAAGCAACAAAGCAACAAGCAAAACAAGCAAACACACAAGGCACATAACAAGCAAACACCAAGCTACAAAAGCTAAGAAAGAACCAAGAAAAAGCAAACGAGAAACAAACGGGGTTACCACAACACCACTAGAACTCTTCACTCTCTGACTCTGATGCTTCTGCAGACTCTTCCTCTTCGGCTTCAACTCGGTGACTAGAACTAGCTTCAAACCGATCTAACCTTTGATGCACTGCGGCAAACTGCGACCTCACAAACGCAAAACCCTCGGTGATCAAACTGTTCTGCTGACGAAGCAAAGAGGCGACATCCTGATCTCTCTTGGTGCGGACTTCTCTCCTTCTCCGATTTTCCTCACTATCTGATTCACTTAACTCAGCTTCAGCGGTCTCCGGTGCTCCTTCTTCTTGATCAGCTTCTTCCTCAACTTCTTCATTACCACCCAAACTCTGGACTGCAAGGCTCAACTTCCTAGCATGGATCCCAAGCTCAGCAGCTAACTCTGCTCTCTCAACAGGTGCTTTCCTAGCAACCCCTTCAAGCGTGATGTACTCACCATCATCCAACTGAAAAAGATTACAACTCCGGAGATTGGCGGTATCGAACACCATCTTTCCCACAGCTTTTGGAGAACAACCATCCACACTAACACCTTTCTTGACCAAAATCCAACTTAGCACCATCCCATACGGCAAACTCTTCCGGTTGTGATCCCGGCAAAACACCATGTGTTGCATCATCAAAGCAGGCAGATTGAACTTAACCATATTCTTCAAACAGAAAGCAAAGGTACACTCCAACTTACCCAACAAACTGCTCTTGTTGTTATTGGGCAACAAGCAATCTGACACCAACATAACCAAGATCCTTTGTTCCGCAGACAACCACTTCCTTTCCGGCCTCGAAGCTTGAGTGAAACCACTCGTACGGCCAAACAAATAACTCAAATAGTCACGGTACCCCATGGTATCCGTACTAATCCAAGAGTGACCACTGTACTGAGCTACTCCGGTATCAGACAGACTCAACAACTGGGCTAAGCTCTTCTCAGACAACACAACCTTCACACCTCTCACCTTAGAGGTGATCTCAAGCCTTTCACCTTCCTTTGTCACAACCATGTGACGATAAAACTCTTTTACCAAACTCGGGTAAGTATCGGTCCTTATGGCGAGAAAACCATCCAACAAACCTTGAAACTTAAGCAAATCCAACAAAGAACTTGAAAAAGATTCCGGGTCAAAAGCTTTACCTTCAAGCACAAGGTAGTGGGCATCCACCCATTCCGCTTTTCTTGCCAAACTTGACCTTCTAGGCATGGTGAAAGATGATCCAAAGCTCAACAGACAAAGCCCACAACTCCTTCTTCAACAACACTCACAACTCTCTCTCTCTCTCTCTCTCGCGAGCTCTCTCTCTCTCTCTCGAAGACACGGCTACAGCGGCGGCGAGGCTACGGCGAACTCTGACGGCGACACGGCGAGGCTCCGGCGGTGACGGGCAGGTGGTGCGACGGGGTGGGTGGTTCGGGTAGCTCACGGGTAGGGAGGAAGAAGAAGAGAACTTGGGGAAAAAGATTAGGGATTTGGGTGAGATTGGGGAAAAAAATGATTAAATTGGGGATTTTGAACAAAGAGGGATTTCAAGGCTCAAAAGGAATTAAAATGGGTTAGGTTCCAAGAAAGACAATTAGCTCAAGTGGTTTAGAGGTTGGGTAGAAAAGAAATTGGCTAAGATTCAAAACTTAAAGGCTACAAAGAAACATTAGGCTCAACTTTTAGGCTACACAAGGAAAAATTTTGGGTAGGAAAGACTATTTTTCCAAATCAAAGAATACTTGGAAAATTTAGGGAAAGACACAAGGAATTGTTGTAATAACAACCAAGTGCAAAGGTGAAAGAATTGGGCTAAGCACAAGATAACTCAAGGATAGGTGGCTACCACGAAACAAGATGCCAACTAAGGAAAACACTTAGAAAGAAAAGAGTCTATACTAAGCATCCAACGAAGAACAAGCAAGGAAACAAGCCAAGGATTGCCAAGCAAAGACAACCACGGAACACAAGATAACTCCCAAGGCAACAAAGAACAAAAGGGCAACCAAAGACAAAAAGGCAACAAAGGGACAAAAGGCAACAAGGGAACAAAAGGCAACAAGGGAGCAAAACACTCACGGAAAAACAAGGATAGGCTCAACAACAAGGGTTACCTGCTAACTCCTCCTCCACCAAACCCTCCGACTCCGCTTGCGAACGCGCCATCACGAAAACTCTCCCCGGCGGCCTAACTCCAACGGCTCCACGACTCGAACTCCCTCCTGGTGCTCCTACTACTCCCGGGGGCGGCGGTAACGCTCTCTGACCGACAAACTGAGGACACTCCGCAACTCTATGACCAACAACCCCACAGCGAAAACACTTATACGCTTGGCCTAAACAAACTGATCCCGGGTGCACCTTCCCACACTTGCGACAAACAACCGACTTAGCTTGAACCGAAGGCTCCATCCTAACGGGCCCTTGAGAAAAAGAAGACACAACTCTAGCCGGAAAACTCTGACGGGACCTCTTGAAAGCAAAAGAACCACCACTCTCAACTCTCTTCCTAGCCAACTCAAGCGACTGGAGCTGTTGAACCCGAAACAGATTTGCGGCACACAGATACGCGTCCTTGAGGGAACTAGGTCTACTCACTGTCAACGCCTTTCGTGCCTCATAATTCAGACCGGCAACGAAGCGCTCAACTTTGGCAAGCTCCGTAGGCACCAACATCCTCGCGGAGCGCGCTAACTCTAGGAACCTCTTGTGGTACTCCACCACAGATAAAGGTCCTTGCTGAAGATGAAGGAATTCATCAAACATAGCGGCTCTCACGTGCGCCGGGTATAACCTTTCGCGCATCTTATCCTTAAGCGCTGTCCAATCAAACCCAGGCTCTTCAAGAAAGGCAGAACTCTCGTGAATCCACCACAGATCATCTTCTTGGCAGAAATAGAACGTTGCCAATTCTATTCTCCTTTCTTCAAGACAACCAACCACAGCAAAAATCTTATCAAACGCCCGTAGCCACTCTTCAAGGACTACAAGGTCTTCTTCACCAGCAAAGGAAGGAGGTCGATGCCCGGACACTAAACGACCTACATCACGGTGCTCAACAGGAGGCGGAGGCGGTACAACTTGATTGTTGTTCAACAGAGCTTCACTAAGAGACTGCATCGTCTGCGTCAACTGATGGAGATTCTAAGCAAGTTGCTCATTGGTCGGAGTCTCTGGGGTACAGGCGCGAGGACGAGGAGGCATCGCACAGCTGCTACAACAACAAGGTTACCACAAAAAAAGCAAGCAAGCAAGCAAGACAGAAAACAACACACATCTCACCGCGCAACCTAGCGTCCTAAGCCTAACACTTAGCTTCTTAAGGTCGCTTAGAGGTCTCAAATCACACTTAAACACTTAGAAAGACTAGACTTAACCCTTCCTAGGCTCTAAACCTAGGCTCTGATACCAACTGTAACACCCCCCGACAAAGAGACTTAAAGACAAGTCTTAACACCTGCAGATCAAGTACACAACTAGCACAGCGGAAGATAAAATATAACTTGGATATAAAACATCCATAATCCGGGGTGTTATGCCACGTACACCACACATGGTATACGCTTTCGGCGACAATCTGCAAGTGTAACTACAAACCCAAAACAACAACTAAACATAAAGCAGTCTAAGATACGGGCACGCAGGCCACAAAACACTGTCTCTTGGAACAGGTACTAATCTACCGGCTCTAGACATCGCGCTCAACACCTGAAAGATACAAAGATAAACATCGGGGCGACGCCTGGTCAGCGAATAATGCTGGTAACCCACCAATACTGTTAAGTATCATAAATAGGTAGATATAATAGGAAAACCATTTTCGAAACGGAATATATATATATATATATATATATATATATATATATATATATATATATATATATATATATATATATATATATATATATATATATATATATATATATATATATATATATATATATATAAGTTAAAAACCAAGATCATGAGACAACACAAGACTCACCACTCACAAGGACAACATCGGGAACACATCCCAACCACAAAGGACAACCACACACACAACGATAACGACTCACACAACGGCAACACATGACAAAACACAAACATCTGTGACTACACACGTCACGAGAGAAGATAACTCACCACACACCGGCTTCACAAGCCCTCCTCGTGACATCACCCATCACGAGTTGCTATGCCTTCCTTATGCCATGTTCCAACCTTATGGCAACCCCCACCTTATCCTTCTGTGCCACCCATTACCTCCGGAAAGCCCCTGTTCTTCTGAGTCCAACCTTGTTCCTCCAGGATCGTCGTCCCCCACCTATAACCACCAACAGAAACCCACCAATTTGTTGGCACTCAGGCCCGGATAACATAATGTTGTCTCCCCAATACACGAGGAACTCTGCCTCCCCCATGAATTCACGTCACGGCCACCACGAGGACCGCTGCAATACCTGGGTGACAAGCGTCCCATACCACTGTCGTGCAATCCAGGTAGAGCCACACACGCACACCTCTCACTCAGAACAAACAACAGATTGCAAGAAAAGGTACGAAACATACTCACAAGAGAAGGGTCACTACCCAACGACGACAACGACGCTAGCATTACGATAATAACTAGCAAGCTCAACAAAGAAGAAACTCAAGATAGTTCCGAGGAACTCACAAGACACCACACGGTTCAACGAAACACAATGTTGAACACTTAGCACGATTCACAACGCCAAAGATCCTACATGGATACCTATCAAGAAACTCTAGACCTACGAAACATCAAGAATACGCTCAAAGAGATCCACAAAATAACAACGGGAGGTCAAAAGATCAAAGACCGAGACAAACAAAACACGGGGAACAAATCCCACTCTGAACTCCAACATGTTCACCGCGGGTGGACCCACGGGTAGTGCCCCACCCGTGGTCCCGCCCGCGAGTACACAACCCACAAGGCTAGGTTCCCGCGGGTAGGCCGGCGGGTGGTGCCCCGCCCGCCGTTCCGCCCGCGGGTACGGTCCTGTACCACAACAAATCCCTTCGGGGATTTTCTCCTCCAAACACAAATTCAAGTCCAAAACATGCCAAATCTCACCAAGCACAACAAAATGACTTGAACCAAGGAATATGCCAAGCAATGGCACAAAGGAAACCTAAACACAAGCTCTAGATATGCAATATCACAAGATAAATGCATAGACTCTCACATTTCACAACAAAGAACATGTAGAAGCCAAGAAATCATATATAGGTAAGCAAAATAGGTTTTGTAGAGCATGGGTTACCTCTTGAAGACCAAAAGCACTCTTCTTACACCACAACAAGCTCTCCACTAAGCTCACAAGCTAAACCCACTTCAAGATCAAACCAAAAGATCATAAAGATCCAACCTTTAACAAAAAGACAACTAAGATGGAACCAAAAAAACTAGACAAGCTTAGATCTTACCCTTCTAGATGCCAAAATAGAGGAAAGATTGAATCTTGGAACCAAAACTTGGAATCTTGACAAAGGCTCTTTTTGTCTTGAAGAACAAGCTACTCTTGTTTTCTAGAGAGAAGATGGAGATATTTTGTATGGAATGTAAGGGATGAAATGAGGTAGTCTTTTAGGTTTAGTTTACAAAGAACTAGCTCATGGTGAAAAGATAAGCTTACCCTTACTAACTCTCAAAAGTGTAAGGAACAAGGGAACTACTCTCAAAGCACAAGGTACAACTCCACTTAAAGATTGACTAGTCAAATTCTAGTCCTTGAGTATCAAAAATCAGGATTTTAGGAATCAATTCCTCAAAAGAAATAGAATTAATTACTAAATTAATTCATGGCTTGGAATGTGGATTTTTGGGGTGTCACAGCAAGGCCAGGGTGAGACGTAGGCCTAGGTTTCGTGTCCCCTGTACATAACGCAACACCCGCTTGAGCGCTGCCCAATGATCTTGTGTTGGCGTGTGCATGAACTGACACAGGCGGTTGACAGCAAACGATAAGTCTGGGCGAGTAATCAGGAGGTACATCAGGGACCCAACGAGAGGCCTGTACGCCGTGGGGTCATCAAGAGGAGGTGACTCAGTAGCAGCAGCAAAAGTGGCGAGACACATCGAAGTGGACAACTGTTTGCAGGATTCCATGCCAGCTCGTCACAGTAGTTCCGTCATATAGCGTTGCTGTGACAACATCATGGTATCTTTGTCATAAGACGCCTCGATTCCTTAGAACAATCGCAGGACGCCAAGATCACGAATGCAAAAGGTTATGGAGAATTGAGTCATGAAACCACTGAGCATATCGGGGCCGTTGCCTAGTAAGAGAATATCGTCGACGTAGACCAGGTTATAAGCATGAACTTGTCCAGAATAAAAAATAAATAGTGAAATGTCTATCTTTGACCGGCGGAACCCAACTTGTAGTAAGAAATTGTGCAGCCTTTTGAACCACGCACGTGGAGCCTGTTTGAGCCCGTATAACAACTGTTGAAGTTTGCACACATACCCTAGGTAGTTAGGATCCGTGTAGCCCGGTGGTTGGCGCATGTAGATGTCCTCGTCGATGTGCCCGTTGAGAAAAGCGTTATGGACGTCCAGTTGCCGCATGGTCCATTTATTTGACACGGCATAGGTCAAAAGGAGTCGAATAGTCGTAGGCTTGACCACATGACTGTATGTTTCAGAATAGTCTTCGCCGGCGATTTGATTGAACCCTTTGGCCACTATTCACCGGCGATTTGACTGAACCCTCTGGCCATTAAACGGCCTTGTAGTGATCGATTGTGCCATCGGACTTGCGCTTGACACGGAACACCCACTTGCAGCCTATCACATTCAAATCATGCAGTGCAGGAACCAGGCGCCACGTTTGATTCTGGATCAAGGCGTTGATTTTAGTGTCCATAGTAGTGCGCCAATGCGAGAATTTGACTGCTTGCATGTGACAGGTTGGCTCATTGTCGTCTACAGACGCGACCAGTGCTGTTGGTGGGAGAACCGGGTTGTGCCGCCTTGCATTTGTTGTTGTCCGGAGCTGCATAACATGAGTTAGAACATTAGGCCTTACACGTCGTCGCCGAGTTGTAGTGGTCGACGAGGTCGTAGGCTGAAACGACGAGGAAGCCGCCCCTGCTGTGGAGGATGACAACGTCGGAATAGTTAGCTGGGGAGGCGATGGCAGTGGTGGTAGAGCCGGGGGCGCCGATACGGGCTGAGTAGGCGGTGTAGGCTGCTGGATTAGCGCAGACGCCCATGACGATGAAGATGCCTCACTAGAGGCAGAACTAGCGATAGTGTGACGCACACCCTGGAAAGGAAATGATTCTTCATTGAACCTCACATGCCTCGCCAAATATATGTGGCATGTGTCTCTGTCTAAGCACTTGTAACCAAACATGGAGTCTGGATACCCCAAAAAAACACAAGGTTTGGAGCGATAGTCTATTTTGCGCCTGTTATACGGACGTAGATTTGGGAAGCACTCGCAACCAAATACACATAATAAATTTTAATTCGGAGACCTGTGAAACAACCGAGAGTATGGACTTACATTTTGTGAAACAGTGGATGGGCGGCGGTTTATTAAATGGACCGCTGACTCGAACGCGTATGACTAGTATTTCTGTGGTACGTGACTCTGGGCCAGAAGGGTAAGACGGGTTTCGACCACGTGGCGGTGTTTACGTTCCACGCGACCATTTTGCTCGTGAGTGTGTGGGGACGAGTGACGGTGTAGAATCCCAGCGGCGGTGAATACCGAGTGGAGTTTTCGGTATTCGCAGTCCATGTCAGACTGAATACATTTGATAGGAGTGGCAAAGTATTTTTCAACGAATGGACGGAATTTGGTAAAAACAAAATATAATTCTGACTTACATTTCATTAGATAATACCAAACAAACCTAGAAAAATCATCTACAAAGAGGAAAAAATATTTATGACCGTCTACGGACGGGATCGGAGAAGGCCCCCAAATGTCCGTGAAACCAAATCGAGTAAAAATTTACTAGAGTGTTCGATTCGCGTGAGTGGGAAGCGCGCAGAATTGCCCATCTAACACGTGGTATATAAATTATTTATAGAATTGAAATGACCCCTAACAGGACACATAGAAAGAACCTGACGCAAGACTCGAACGTGCGGGTGCCCAAGGCGATTATGCCACACTTTAGGAGACGCTCTAGCTGACAGGAATGCAACTTTAGAAGACGCGGTGAGTGAGTACAACCCCCCTTGACTGGGACCTCTAAGAAGTACCTGCTGGGTGGTACGATCCTTCACAAAAAAATGAGAAGGATGAAATTCAAAGTACACATCGTTGTCACGGGTGAACTTTTGCACAGATAATAATGAAGCACGGTACCGAAATGTACCTCTGTCCAGTGGCGTCAACAAAACGCCGGTAGCCCATTAGTGTTGTATGCCCGGGAACATCACATATCTGGCACCGAATACCTCTACGGCTACGTTGTCCGCGACCACGGTGGCTACAGTTTTGGCGACCACAGCCTCTATTACCGGCGGGAACCGATGATGGTTGCTGAGCCATCATTACCGTCAGCGTAGGAAGAAAAGGTGGTGTTGTCTCCTCCGGGAATAGGTACTGATGAGTCGATAATAGATCAGCTACCTCTGGGATTGTTAGCGAACTGCTCTTCGTGGTGAGAGAAGCAACAAGACTCCTGTACTCCGATCGAAGACCCCGGAATACAGGGAGGTTCTGTTCGTCGAGGCCGACAAGACGGCCAGCCCGGGCAAGCTGCTCCATGAGCACTTGCACCTTGCCGAGGTATTCTGCCAAAGAAGAGTCCCCTTGTCGGAGGCCTTGGAGTTGAGTGAGGAGGCTGAGCAATCGTGTTCTGGAAGCAAAGCCGAGTGCAGTTTCGATTGCAGTCCACACAGAACGTGACGTAGAATGTCCGATTGATAGCTAAAGAACCTCCTCAGCCATCGAGGAGATTAACATACTAAGGATCGATTGATCCTATTGAACCCACACAGCATGTTCCGGGTTGACGCTGGGGCAGCCGCCGACATGGATCCGGCGAGAAACTCCGGCGGGCAGGCAAGCGAGCCATCGACTTAACCAAACAGGTTTTGCCCACGTAGGAAAGACACAGGTTGAGCCCTCCAAAATAGATAGTTAGAGGAGGTAAGCTTAAGGGATACGTAATGGTGGGCTTGTTGCAACTTGTTGTTTGGTGAATGCTGCGCTAGGGTTGGAACGATGGTGGCTGAACCATCAGCTAAAGCAGCAGTGGTGGTGGGAAGGGAGGGATTTTGCTTGATTGATTCAAAGAGAATTACAACACTACTTATACACAGAGATTAACTGGAAACAGCTAACAACCCATAACAAACTCTAACCTTAACACAATATTCTAAGAGCTCAATAGAGATAAACACATAGAAAGGATTTAGATTTTTTTTTTTTTTAATGTGAAAGCTCGTAAGCCACTACCTGAAGGTGTGGTCTAGGTAAAACCTGTCTTTGAGACCTTAGCTAGAAAATAACCATAAAGAGATAAACAAACCTATATTGTCCATAACTGATAGGTTCAAACTACAAGGTTGTCGTCCCTAACTTTCCCTCCAGCCATCATCCTCGACTTTTTCACTAGCCACCGCCCCAATTTTCTCTCCAAATATCATTCTGAACTCTCTTGTTCAAAATTTTGTTTATATTTCTTTAAAATTGTGTTTCGAAAATGAATATGGAATATTGGAAAAATGACGGATTATAAAAATAAAAAATTAAACAAATAAAAACCTAGAGAAATGGAAAATGAACGAAATAAAGAATTGGAGAAATGATGTGATTGGACTTAGTTTTCAATTGGAAAATTAATAGTTATTACTTCAAATGTATTATCATTTGGTTGGTAGGCTTGTGCTTTGAGATCATGACGAGAAATAACTTTGTAAAACTTTTCTACAAAATAATTAAGGAGATGTTTGCGTTGTTGACAAATTTATCAAAATTTGACAGATCTATTGAATTTGCCGTTTTAACTATGATCAAAATATCAAAGTAATTATTTGGTAAACTAACGATTTGAAGTAGTAAATTTTCCCAAACCGTTAGAATCTCAAACGCTGCTAGGAGCAATGAGATTGGTATTTTAGAGAAATTTATATTTTCTACAAAATGCCCTAACTTCATTATTATTTAAAAAAAAAAAAAAAAAAAAAAACTACTGAAAAGCTTTAAGGCTCCATTTATGAGGATCCATTGTCGTGCTCAATCGAATTTGGATGGGCACGACTAAAATTAGTGAAGCCTTGAGGCTCATTTTATAGGAGGCTCAAGGCTCCTTCTTTATTTTTTTCGATGTGGGAAAACAAAGGGCTTCCTTTCTTCTTCTTTTTTTTTTTTTTCTTTTTTTTTTTGTTGTTGTTGTTATTATTATTATTGTTTGTGAAATATATGTATACCCTTTAGGCCATTTTACATGTTAATTGCTAATTTAAACAACTAATTTTACCGAATATATTTTTACAAATCGCTGATACAAATTGCTGGTCAAATCCGGTAATACAATCCGCTATTTGCTAACCGCTAACATAATTCGTTAACCGCTAACCGCTGATTGTTAAACAAGACCTAAGATTGAATTTAAAAATTCAAACCCGTTTAAATTCATGCTTATGAATTTGTCACAACTCCCCAATAAACTAAATTTCAACAATACTCATCCCACTAATCAACTAATTTCGATTCAACAATACTCATCCCACTAATAAAGGTACAACATTACACCTTACACCATAGAAATGTCGTATTAATTACTCCCTCAGATCCATTTTATGTGTATGATTTAGTTAACGAAACATGACTAAAGTTAGTTTTTACTCAATTTTTTAAAATATTAAATTTAGTATTAATATATAAAAATTATATATTTAAAAACTACATTAAAAGTATTATTAAAATAATTTTAAAATACTAAAATAAAAAATAAATTAAAAAAAAAAAAAAAAAAAAAAAAAAAAAAAAAACATAGAAGAAAGAGTTGGTTTGACCAATAGATAGTAACCAAGATAGGTAAAATGCAATAGTTATTGTGTGGACCACAATCCAAAAACGTCGTCGTTTCGCGTATTTTTATTTTTCACGCGACCCACTGCAACATAAACTTTTATAACTCATAATGTACATTATTCTAAAGCATAATTTACATTACTCTAACTCATAAAGTACATTATTTTACCCCAGAAGTTTCATTATTCTAAACAATAAAGTACATTATTCTAACTCATAATGTACATTATTATAACTTATAAAATTCAACGATGTCATTTTAGACCGTGATCCACAGTTGTCCACACAATAATTTGTCCACAAAATGAGACAGATGAAGAATTTGTTTAATTCATTCTTGGGTGGGTCATTGAACTATAGACAAATAATACATACACGATGCACACATTTATTCTTTATATTGGCATATGCTCCTATAGTCCTATGGTACTAAAATTCCGGAAATAAACCTAATTTCAATGTATTGTGTGGACAGGACCTCTCACTTGAATATTTTCCAGAATGTAAAGCTACCAATTATTATGGTACAGAAGGCTGGAGGTAGGGATTCTAAAATATCTATGTCCCATTATACATGTTTCCTTCATAAAGTTGTGATTGCAAATATTATTCCAGTCACTTTCACTCTACCTTTCATTTAATTTTTTAAATTTTTTATTTTTTGTTGCTAATAATAGATTCTAAGTTTCATTTATTTATTAGTACAAGTTGATGGATTATCAAGTGACATGACAAAACATTAGCAAATTAATGACCATTTATTATCATTCTTTCTGCCAGTTATCAGTTGTGTTACCTAACATCTCTATGCATGGTAGTACTCTATGTAGCACAAAAATGAGAAATATGAAATGAGAAGTGAAGAAACAACAATTTTTTTAAAAAATGTTTTTCTTTTCTCCTCTTGAATTTTCCTTCTAATCGATCACATCACGATGTGATTTTCATTAGAGTGTTTATGAATTGGATGGTCCCACCATTAATTAAAAAAAGAATTTAGTTAATAATCAAATTCTGAAAAAATACACTGCATGAGGGGAATGTGTTGTTTATGGGCAATGTATATCGTGCACCACGGTGCACATAGCAATGTGCACCCAGGCACAAAACGACGTTATTACAATTGTTGTTGACGGGGATTGACGTAACAGATGTTACTTCGCCCATTCAAACGGACCAAACTCCGTTATGTGTATTTAGTTAAAAGTTTTTGTGTATTGTGTTATGAATTTATGTGTATTCAGTTAAGAGTTTATGTGTATTATGTTAAAAGTTTATGTTTATTTTGTTAAGAGTTTGTGTATTATGTTATGAGTTTATGTGTATGATGTTATGAGTTTATGTGTATTATGTTATGAATTTATGGGTATTATGTTAAGAGTTTATGTATATTATATATTATGTTATATTATGTGTATTCTGTTATGAGTTTATGTGCATTCGAAACAGAGAATTTTTTATTTTTTTTTAAATGCACCAAAACAACGTTGTTTTGGGAAACACGGGGCGCACATTGTTATGTGTGCCATGGTGCACGGTATATGATTGTTGTTTATGGGGATCGGACTTTGTTGCAACCAAATACATTTATGTAGAGACTGAGTGGAAGCTAGTGATGATATAAGATTGTGTACCAAAAACAAAATATTGTAGCTGATCTCCTAACTAATCTGGCTATCCAAGCGGATAGATAGTGAACTAAATTTGTGAATCCTACCACACAAGTTAGGAAAACTATTCGGGATGACATGTTGAGAGTTGTAAGAACGTGAATGATTTTTGTGACATGACACTAATACGGTTCAGGAGTACGCCCCTTTAGATTCAAACGATATTGAAAAACAATAAGATAATGTCACGTCAAGAAAGGAAGATTGAAGGAAAATATAGAAGTATATAGCCTGCAGCATTACAGCCTTACAGGTAACCAACAAGTTACCGGTAAAAAATGAAATATATATATATATAGATTTTTTTTATTTTTTTTCTTTTGCTTTTGGCCAGCGGTGATCTTCGCAGCCTCCTTCCAATCTGGAAGGAGGCTAAACGTCATCGCCTCTAGCTTCCTTCCGATCTGGAAGGAGGCGGATGTTGCCTCCTTCCAGTCTAGAAGGAGGCGGTCGCGTCGTCGCCTCCTTCTAGACTAGAAGGAGGTGACGTTGTTGCCTCCTTCTAATTAAACTGGAAGGAGGAGGCCAGCGTAGTCGCCTCCTTTCAGTCTAGAAGGATGTGGCCACCGTCGTCGCCTCCTTACAGCCTGGAAGGAGGCGGCCACCGCCGTCGCTTCCTTCAAGACTGGAAGGAGGTGATGCCGTTGCCTCCTTCCAGACTAGAAGGAGTTCAAGACGGGAAGGAGGTGACGTCGTTGCCTCCTTCCAGACTGGAAGGAGGTGACGTTTGCCTCCTCCTTCCAGTTTGGGAGGAGGCAACCGTTGTTGCTTCCTTCCTGTCTGGAAGGGGGTGACAGGGGCCTCTTTCAAGACAGGAAGCCGGCGCCGAACGGCGCGGCCAGCCAAAAATAAATAAATAAATAAATAAATAAATGGGTCCATGGCCGGCCATTCGTCTCCGTGACTGGCCAGAGACGAAGGGGTCCATTTTCGTCTACATTGCTGGCTGGAGATGAAGCGGTGGGGACCGCTTTGTCTCCGGCCAGCCATGGAGACGATCCCCTTCGTCTCCATGGCCTCGCCCTTCGTCTCCGGCCAGCCATGGAGGCTGCTTTTTTTTTTATTATTATTATATATTATTATTATTATATTATTATTATTATTATTATTATTATTATTATTATTATTATTATTATTAATTTTAAAATAATTATTTTATTTGAAATTATTAAAATAAAATTCGAAAAATTATTTTTAAATATAGTAACCGACACGTCAGGAAATAAAATTAGAAAAACATGGCATTCGGGGAGGGAGTGCTTAGTAGGATAATAATAATAATAAAAGAGTTAATTCCAACAATGGTCCTCCGACTATATTGATGTTTTAAAATTGGTTCTCGACTTTTAATTTGGACACTTTAAGTCCCTTGACTTTTAATTTCTTTTCAATTGAGGTCTTTTCGTCAGATTACGGTAGATTGGACTTTAAATGAAAGGGTAAAGTAGTCATTTCATCTGCCTAATGTATAATTCTTCGTATTTCTCCCTTGTATGCGCGACTTCGGACATTAGATTCACTTAATTGCTTAATCCACAAATCCACTCGAAGAACAAAATTTCATTAGGTATTAGGAAATTCATCTTCACCAACATCCAATTCACCATTTTTATTAATTAGGAAATGATCCATTTTAAAAAAAAAAAAAATTTAATTAGAAAATTGCACAAAATAGTTTTGAAATAAGTTGCGGGGATGAAATCAAAACAGAGAAACATTACGTTCACATATTTTCGTCCAACATAAGTGATAGCTAACTAGTGAAAATTGCACTATGAAATGCATTTTTGGTGCTTTGATTTTTTTTTTTTTTTGGTATATTTTTAATTATTACTCATTGACTTTGAATTTCTGTAATCACTTTTAATTCTTTTACCGAGTTTATTATGATAAGTTTTTCGAGCAAACATCACCTAAAACTAGCATATGCACATGTTTGACTTAAAAATTCCTCTAAAAGAGTAAAAGTGATAGAAAAATTCAAATTTTATTGAGTATAGTGAAAAAAAAAAATCAATTTTGGCTATATGACTATAGGGCTTTGTTAATTTCAGCATTTGACTTTTAAAAGTGTCAATTTAGTACCTTGACTATGCAATTTTTATCAATTTTGGTCACTCGGGTCAAATTGTCGTCCAAACTTCGCCAGAAAATTTTAACAGTTAAAATAATAAGGGTATTTTAGTCATTTCTCATCTATTCCCTCTTCTCTGGCGAATTATTATTTTTCCAACGGAGAACACCATCGTCGCGATCCGGGTCACCCCGACCCGCATCAACACCCTGAGGCTCAACGCCGGCGATGTTCACGCCAAACAGCCTCAGTTGCTTAGCTGTAGCCTTACTTTGGACCACCGGCACCAGCTCGTACACCATTGCTCAGGTGCGCTCTCTGCGATGCCGTTTTCTCCACTTCAAACCCTTCCAGAACCACTACAAACACAGAGATACATACCTGCGGGGACACGGTTGAGGGTGATGCCGGTGTTATTGAGGGCCTGCTGAACCGATGGCGAGATCTTGGTAGTATCCCCGTCGGCAGAGATGGAATAGTTAGAAGTCTATGGAGAATCAGTTATAGTCATAAGTTGTTTCCTAAGTTTGTGTTACTTCCATGTATATTTAAACCTCTGTAACTCTC